TTAAATGATCATCAGCAAACTAACTGTTACTCCAAGAAATAAAAAAATTTAAAAGGAAGTTTAATGGATAATCCTCTAGTCCAAGAAGAAATATTAGGGATATTAAATGCTGCACCCTTGTAATTAAAATGCTTAACAAAAATCACTAAACAAAGTAGGGCCACTGTATATTTTATTTAATTAAATACATAAAATGGTCTGCAATTATACATTTGTAACTTTATAATAAAAAAAGCTACACTACTAAGTTTGCTACTAGATTGGCAGCTAGGTCTCACCATTTTACCGTTGACTTAACTAGATACAACCTTCCCTTCTAACAGTTTCTTTTCTTGAAATTCTCACCTGTGGAACTCCCTTATGATTTCTTGCTTTTCTGTCACATATGATCTTCAAAAATTTAAATGCAACATCAATCACCATCTTCCATTTTCCTGAACCTTTTTCCTTTATCATCCTCTCATCACTAAAGTCTTTTCTTCCTCTTTCACTTTCTGTAACACTGTGTCTTAGTGGCATTATCACTTTGCTTGGGGTAAAATGATATAAAAAATAAAAAACTCTATAAAATAGTATCACTCTTTTTTTGGAGGAGGAATTGAAATTGAATCAAGAATCCATTTAAAGAGAAAATAAAAAAAAGGAAAAAGAAAAAAGGCCATTTAGAAAATAGGTTGCAAATACAACATAAGACCAACTAATGACAGTAGGAAGATTATACTGCATCAATTTTCCAAGCAGGGGAGGGAAGGTGACTACGTTGAAATCAGTATTTTAAATGTTTTTTTTATTTTTTTCTATTCTAATAGGAAATATTAATATCTCATTCTGAAGAGATGTCCACAAAGTTTACATTCTTTACAGAACAAAGTTAATAAATACCGAGAAAGAATAAAAATGAAAGCCATCTTAGTAGAAGCAGATAAAATATCAGAAGTATATAGATTTCTAGTGAGAAAATCACATAAGCAATAATAAAAAAGACTTTTTTTTCACAATCTGAATTTTGAAGATTGGGCATTGTTATTGCACAATGATTCTTTCAGATTTGAATCTTCAGAATCCATCATGTATTTGTGGGTGAAATAATAACTGTCAGAAAAACTTACCAACTAGAACAGAAGAAGGGTAGGATCACATTAAGTGCTTCAGTGAAATGTTTTTTGGGGGGATGGGGGGGTGGTACACTTAGGATCAGTTTCTCACATTGTTCTTGGAAAAAGTTTGAACTAAATGAGTAAATGGAAGTTGGAGAGAGAAAAAATCAATTAGAAATATGAACATTCTGAAAGAACCCTTGTTACTTGAAAAACAAAGCACTGCCTAAATTCTGAAATTTTATTTACTATTTATTTATTCCTCAAATGGGAGTAGATATGTTCACGCATTGTCCAGTTCACATTCCTTCCTGTAGTGAAAAAGGGAACAAAAATAATCACCCACCTGATTGCAAATGGTAGCGTATATGTTCTGCGTGCAAGGTTTATTTTTTTTTGACTGGAAAAAACATGGCTGCCCCCAGCAAGCTTATATTGCGAATGGTCACGTATCCTCACACGAACGGTCGCGTAAAACCACAGAAAGTGAATTCACGCATGCAAATGAAGGAAGGCAGAAAAGGAGATAAAAATGCCGAACATTCGTCTAGGACCTCCCAAGGGTTTGATTCCTCTAATGGCTGTCGTACAACATACCAAAGGCAATGTGCGCCCAGTGATGGACTACAGGGAGCTCAACGAATACGTGGATGCCTTCACTGCGGATGCAAACATATGTACAGCCAAACTGAGGGAGTGGCGTCAGCAAGGAGTCAATGTGGCACTGCTTGACCTGCGGAGGGCTTATTTACAAGTAAGAGTCCACGAATCTCTCTGGGCATTTCAGACGGTACTGATCAAGGGGAAAAGATATTGCCTCACGCGGTTGGGCTTCAGGCTAAATGTGGCGCTAATGATCATGAAGGCTATCGTCAGTACAGTGTTGGCACAAGAAGAACAGAGGAAGAAGGCAATGTCATCCTACATTGATGACATATATGTAAATGAGAATGAATTATCTGCAGACGAGGTCAAGACTAAGTTGGAATCCTTTGGTTTAACTTGTAAAGACCCTGAGCGCCTAAAGCATGGAGCTAAAGTGCTATGTCTTAAGGTCTGGGGGGAGTGTGACACTTTACGTTGGAAGTGAGGAACTGCAATTCCAGAACCCCCGGCTGAGACGCACCGTATTTTCCTTGTGTGGGAAGTTGATGGGCCACTTCCCTGTTTGCGGCTGGCTGCGTGTGATAGCTGGAGTCCTAAAGAGACGCATGACCATGAAGACCTAGGGATGGGATGACCCAATCGATGACGTCTCTCTCATGCAAGTCGTGGAAGAAGTACTGGCGAGGGTCATCCGTGATGACCCTGTTCGAGGTAACTGGAGTGTATCTGGAGAAGAGATGAACGCATGGGTTGATGCAAGCTCATTGGCAACTGGCGTGGTGTTGGAAAGACATGGTGACATCCTGGAGGATGCATGCTGGCTTCGTCTGACAAACGACACTCAGCATATAAATTTAGCAGAGCTTGACGCCACGGTGAAATGGCAATGGCACACCCCGCCATGTGAAAGAACTTCGCATGCATGACGAATCAGCCATTACGGGGGAAGACAAAAGTGACATCTGGTAGCAAAATGAGGGTCAAAATGACTTGTGGATCGGTAGGCCAACATTCATCTGCACAGTCAGTGTCTGAGGAAGATACTGAAGATGAGAATGACCAAATTAGTGGAGATAGAAGGAATGTGGGAAAGAGCACCCTACACCTCTGAGAAGAAGCACCCAGAGGAAACGAGCGCAATCCCCATGCAATATCTGTGATCATGAGATCAGGGGGGGAGTGTAGTGAAAATTGGAATGAAAATAATCACCCACCTGATCGCAAACGGCAGTGTATATGTTCTTATATTAGCAAGCTTATATTGCGGGTGGTCGTGTAAAATCACGGAAAGTGAATTCACGCATACAAATGAAGAAAGGCAGAAAAGGAGATAAAAACGCCGAACACTCGTCACTCAGAAAACGAAAAAAAAATCTTTTGCAATGTTGAAGATGAATCGTGTAAAGGAGAAAGCAGAGGCTCAGGAAGAGATTATTGAGTAAATTGAAGGAGTTTGTCAGTCGTTGCAGTTTTACACCAGGTGCACCAAGAGAATAGTGTGTTTGTTCAGGAAGTTTGACAGTCGTCACGGATTTGCACCCAGTTCACTTCCCAATCTTTTGAACAGGAGTAGAGGTTCATCCCTTGTTTCCAGTTCAAGATCAGGTTTCTGGTTCCTTCTAAAGCCTACTATACTTCCAAAGTCTTCACTTAAACTCTGAAACTTTATTTACTATTTGTTATCTTTTTTTTTTTTTTTTCAATAGGAGTAAATAAGTTTGCCTATTGTCCAGTTCACACTCATCCCCAGATTTTTTACCTTGTTTCCTGCTTAGGATTGGATTTCCAGTTCCTTCTAAAGTCTTCTCATTTTCTTAGTAGCATTATTGCCTTGCTTGGAGAAAAACATGTAAAATTTAAAAATCTTAACTCTGATGATACTACCAATGGCAATGTATAGTATTCAACTGTAGGCATTGAAAAGTATCCTTTCACTTCTTTTGGAAAAAAAATGTTATTTAATCTAAGTAACTTTTCATTAAAAAATGGAAAAGCAAAAACAAAAAAAAACAAAAAGCAAAAAAAAAAAAAAAAAAAAAAAAAAGTGAAAACGAGAAATAGAAACGAGAAACAAAAAGAAACCGAGAAAAAAAAGAAACAAAACAAAAAAAAAAAAAAAAAAAAAAAAAAAAAACGTGAAAAAAAGAAAACAAAAAAAAAGCCATATATTTTATATCAGTTGGGTTCAAGTCAAAATATAATTTACCATGAAGTATTTCTACCACAAAAACAACTGTAATTGTATATTTAAAATAGGCTGTTATTATCATTATGCAATAATTCTTTGACTGGGCATTTTTAACTGTACTCTTGAACTATTTCCAAATTTTTGTCATATTTATTAACCTTCAAGAAATTTTGAACTCATCCTTTTATTTCATACATTTTATTTCTCATGTTAAGTGTCCTTTCTAAGGATATGACAATAATAGAGTCAGAAATCCCAAAGAAATACACACACCTAGTTGAAATAAAGAACTCCATTCAAGATTACCTGAAGGTTAGTAAATGTGACAGGACACCTGAGAAAGGCTTGAAAGTAAAGTGGTCTAAAAATTGTACTAAAAAGAATTATGACAATGCTAACTGAAAAGAAACATTGATTGATTCATTTTCTATAGATTATTGATAGATTATCAACCCTTTGCAGGTTATTTAAAGACATAAAATATTTTTTAGATTGTAAGAATTTTTTTTTTGGAGGTAATGTTTTGGTGATACAAGTCTTACTAATTACCCCATAACTGGAGAGAGAAGAGATGGATTCCTACCTTTCCCAAGGCCATTTGTGTGTAAATGAGTATAACAAACCCAACTGGAATTGGAACTTGGTTCTCTCCAATTAACAATTCCAAGGTGCTATCCATTACATGCCGTATGTCTCAGAAAGAATCAGATTCCAAAATAAAGTAATGCTATCAAATCATGACCTTTGACATTGTTACACACAATATATAATTTGTAAATCCTGAAAACACTTCAATGTAAAACTACATTACCCATTATTTGTGTATCAAATCAATCTTTGTTGAATGAATTTGTCAAAAACTGAACAAAATGTGTACTTTTTCTTAAACTTTTGTTACAGCAAGAAACAGGAAATTTAAACTAACAAATGAATGCTAGTGGCTATAAAATTTAATGATACATTATGAGTTTGTTCTAAATATAGAGTTTTTTTTCACCTTTGTATTAACTAAAAAAATATGCTTTATAATCAGCTGTTTTTCAAGTCTGTCTGTTAAGAGTTGCTTGTCTTACTTGAAAATTTCAAACTATTATAAAGCATTAACTTACCCAACCATATTATCCATTATATTAAAACTCTCACCAATCTTCTGTTCAACACGGGATAAGGAAGGATGGTTAAAATACTGCAAAAGAAAAATAATGTTTGCATACATGAAGCAATAAAAATGTAAAATCAGTAATGCAAGACAGTTTCTGTAACATGTATCAAGAGTTGTTTTGTCAACATCTATAAATGTGCAGACAAAATTGTAATCTCAGTGGCAAATAAAAGAAAATTAATAAACAATAAAAACTGTCAGGAAAAATGCAAGATATCAAGTAATCTAAATGGAACTTGAAAAATAAACTGAAATCCATGATTGAAACAGATTCAGGAAGCAGTAAAGAGAAAAGTCAGATATAAACAGGGTAAACAATTATTAGGAATGTCCAAAATTTTCCAGTCCATATATATATATATATATATATATATATATATATATAGAGAGAGAGAGAGAGAGATAGGGAGGATATGTTTATTTAAGCAGCATATCTTCATTCAAGCAAGTTTCATTGAAATATAGACATGTTATATCTATTTATTTTTATAATCATCCTTTCTAGTTCTCTAACCAGTTTTTTGATGTTCAGATGAAATTTATCAAGGAAGGTGTCATGGTTTTTTCATACCCAAGTACTTTTGATCTCCTCCAAGATCATCCTCAGAGGGGAATTACAAAGACAAACTTATTGTAATTGTGATCATTGTGATTTTTAAAAAAAACGTGTGAATGCACTCTATTATAATTATTTGAAAATTTTTAATTTATCCATTGTAGCTATGGAATTTTTGCAAAACAATATATATGGGATTAATACAAATATAAAATTTGTCACTTAGTTTATTGATGTTATATCCAGCACCCAGACTCCAGTTTTGTAGGCGAACCATTTTCTGTAATCATTTAGTCCACTTGTCAGGAGGTTATCAGTGATTGATATAATTCAAATGACTTATCTTCCAACTTGAAGTTTTGGTGATACACTATTGTGCTTGTTAGGGTCACAAATCTATTGAATTCATTAACAGATATCATTTGTTTATTTATCATCATTATTATCTTTAAATAAATAATAAATGTAATATCTTAATAAATTCCATAGATTCATCTTACTCTGACAAGCAGAATATATTTGAATCTTCAAATTAGAACTTCTATTTATACATTAATCATTATTGCCTGTTAGTTTTAATACCGAGCACTTTATTTGCAAATATCTGCATGCTTTAAATAGGTTAACAATATTATTATTATCCTCTCTCGTGTGTGCGTGTATAAGTATATATACAGGTGGTGTAATGGATGGCTGGTCAGAATGAGACATCAGTGATCAGAGTTTGAATTCCAGTCAAATTCATTACATTCACTTACATGCAAATACCTTTGGGAAAGGTATGAATGTATCTATTCTCACCTCTAACTATAGGTTAAATAGCAAAGCAGCTGGACTCTGTTGCTGTGGTTGGCAGTTTCAGTGAAGGACAACTCTGAATTTAAAACAATAGGTGATCCTGATGCTGTAGAGATACCTTAAGTGAAATCTCTACCCAATTTCAACCAAAGCACTTTATCCATTGGACAAATGTTGTGCAATGATCTATGTATTGGATTATGCACCTATTGCATTATATAGCCAGCAACCTATCTTTTGTTAAATATGACAGACAAGGAAAATTTATACACAGAGAGAAGCATTAGTTATTTAAATGAGACAAGTAGCATTTTCTTCAGATAAGGGAATCATAAAAAGGAAGATATACAGTAAATATAAAAAAAAAAAAAAAAACTTGCTTTCATTCAATTGATAAACAGAGTAAAACAGGATATTGGTTAAAAATTTGTGATAATAAATTTCAATGAGGCAATGATTAATCTTTGTTTTATGAGGAAGTATCCAGTTGATGTTGCTTGAGAGTTTTTTGTGTTACCAATATTATTTGGCATCTATGTCAAGTTAACTGCTTTATAAGCACTCCACTGATAGTCACAAACTATTGACAAGAACTTTGTTAATAGGGACTGCAGGAGGTGTCAGTATCTGACTTTACCACTTTTCTCCCCCAGACCATGCTCATAATTTGCTAAAATATAGTTAAGGTATGCTATATTTATGGGTTAAAGTGATAGAACATGTTCTAGATGATGGCCTATAGGTAAGATATCTGATGTCAAATGAGTCGGGTTTTGATCCCGGCTTGAAGCAATTGGATGTCTAACCACACTGAGGAGCTGTGATACAGCAAAACAGTCTGTATGGATGACTACACATATGTCTTATATATATATATATATATATATATATATATATAAGACATATCTCAGAATAATTTAGACAAATTTTGTTGACTTATTTTCAATAGGATCCTCTCATGCTCACGGACAAGCTTCTTAGTATCCTTATTAAAGTAAGAGAGAAAATTACCATGTTGATACATATTGATTTATTCAGAATACTTTCAACATTAGCACAATGTCATCATCAGGGTGTTGTTTTTTCTTAAGACAAAATTGTTGTGTTTATCTGAAAGTTAAATTTTTGATGACATTGTGCTAACGGTGAAAGTACTCAGAATAAATGAATATGTATCAACATGGTATTATCTTAATGAAAACATGCTGCCTATATATATATATATATATATATATATACACACACACACACAGTGGGATTGAATAAGTGATCGTACACATGAAAACATTTCATATTTTTTATTTGTAACATATTAACAAAACAGGAATATATCTACTGTATCAGATTGCATACTAAAAATGTATACATATAAAACTAAATAATATTCCATGGTTAAGAAAATATAGCAATATTTAAATTTTTAGGGGTTTAAAAAAAATGATCGTACAGCAAAACAAAAACATGTTTTCTCCATTTAATATTTTGTACCAAAGCCTTTATTAAGTTAAACAGCAACCAATCTCTTCCTGTAGTCTTTAATTGACGATTCGCATACTTTAGTAGGTATTTTGTCCCATTCTTCTTGAGGTTTTTGATGTTTGTTGGACCTCTATCACGGATCTTATTTTTCAAAAACCACCATAAATTCTCTATTGGATTCAAATCCTGACTGGCCATTGTAAGATGTTAACGTTGTTATTAGCAAGCCCATTCTTTGTACTTTTAGCAGTATGCTCGAGATCATTGTCCTGCTGGAAGATCCAATCAGGAAGAAGCCCAAGATTCTCTACAGAAAGCGATAAATTTTCACTTAGGATTTGTTGATATTTTTCTGCATTCATTCTACCATCTATAATTGCTAGTTTGCCAACAACTCGCATTGAAAAGCAGCCCCAAACCATGATACTACCCCCACCAAATTTGACAGTCGGTATGGTGTTCTTGAGTGCACATGTTTCTCTGTCTTTCCTCCATACATGATTCAGGGAATTGCGACCAAACAACTCAATTTTACTCTCATCTGTCCAAAGAACTCTTTCCCAATAAGAATTTTCCTTATCTTTATGCTCTGTCACAAATTTCAACCTGGCATCTCTATGCCGTTTCAGAAGGAGTGGTGTCTTTCTTGGGGAGTGCGACTTTATACCATCTCTGCATAGTTCATTACTAATCATTTGCTTAGTTACGTTAACTAATGACAAACTCAGATCATTCTGATGGCCATTAGGTTATTTTGGATCTGTCACATCAACTTTCGTAATCTGAGAGAGATCTTCCTGGGAGCACTGGGTCTGCCTTTGTTCTCAACAGTATTACATCTTAAATCTTGCAATAAATGAACCAATTGTTGAAAAAGGTATGTTCGTGTCACTGGAGATGTTTCTGTAACTTTTTCCATAGCTTAATAATTAGCTCTTTTTTTAGCACAAGTCATTTCCTTACATCTAGCCATTATTAGAACTGTTATCAGTGAACAGTGGCTGCAGAATGATCCAATTTTGAACTGAATGTTGCAATAGAGTTACTGAGAATATTCTAGAACAGTTTAGAATCTTCTACTATGAAGTACAACCAGAATCTACCGTATTATAATGCAAAATTGATAATGTACAAACACTTTTTACACTATTTGAAATATAAAAATTTGTATAACTATCACTTATCGATGAATTTCTAATTTTAAGTTGCAGATTCTGATTCTATGCCCCAAAATACATATTTAACATTGTTATTCGAGGTTTTCATTCACTATAAGTGAGAATAACAAGCATTTGTTTGCTGTATGATCACTTCTTCAACCACACTGTGTGTGTGTATATATATATATATATATATATATATATATATATATGAGAGAGATTTTATATTTAAGCTTGTAAGTAAAAGAAAAAACAACTCCTACAACAAAACATGTTATTTTTTTAAGTACCTACCTACTTAAAGTAGAACTGATACTGCTGGTGAAGCCGTGAGGGTCAATTTGGAAGAAACTCAAGTATCATGGAAGTGTGTTTAGTTGTAGAAGTGCTATATACTGCATTATCTTTTAAAATATATATATATATATATATATATATATATATATATATATATATATATATATATATATATATATATATACACACACACACACACACGTGAGAGAGCACAAAAAATTGCATGCTACTTTAAAAATCTTTTATACTGATTGGAATTTTCTTTGTTGAAATATTGGAAGTCAATTTCTGTTGCTAGTGCATTTTTGTAGTAATTTCTTATGTTTATTATATTTGTTAGATTTAGAGCTTTATGATAGCATAAGATATTTTTATTAATTAAATGTGACTCTTGTTAGTTATAGGTTTCATTAACTTCCATTAAATTGAAACTATGTTATACAAACTTGCTCAGAAAGAGAGCTGACTGGTAATTCCATTAAATTAAACAATTTAAACATTTCATTTAAGCTTTTGTTTCTAATTTTGGTCATTTTTAGCCTATCCTTAAAAAAGAAATCTCAACCTTTTGAGAGTCAATTTGATAAGGGTTAGAATGACATTGTGGAAGACTTAAAAGCAAGCGCTGAATACAAATGTCTGGTTGACTGCATAAATTTAATGTTAAAAAACAAAGTTGGAAATGAAGGAATTCAGTGCAATATCAACCAGCCAGACATAAAAAAACCTTGCAA